AGACTAAGAGGCATTTTTTGAATAGAACAAGGGGATAGTACATGGTTTAAAATCAGGAAAGGTGTGTGTCAGTGTTGTAGCTTTTCACCATACTTATTTAATCCATATGCTGAGCAAATAATTTGAGAAGCTAAGGTATATAAACAAGGACGCAGCATCAGGATTGAAAGAAGACTCATCAACAACCTGCGATACGCAGATGATACAACCTTGCTTGCTGAAAGTGAAGACGACTTGAAGCACTTACTGATGAAGATCAAAGACTACAGCCTCCAGTATGGATTATGTTGTTGTTGTTGTTGTTATGTGCCATTGAGTCGGCCCCGACTCATAGCGACCCCTTCTTGGGTTTCCAAGGCAGTATCACTACGGAAGTAGATTGCCCCATCAGTATGGATTATACCTCAACACAAAGAAAAGAAAAATCCTCAAAAGTGGACCAATAAGCAACATCACAATAAATGGAGAAAAATTGAAGTTAGGTATTTCCTTTTCCTTGAATCCACAATCAATGCCCATGGTGGTCAAGAAATCAAATGTCGTATTGCACTGGGCAAATGTGCTGCAAAAGATATCTTTAAAGTGTTAAAAAGCAAAGATATCACTTTGAAGACTAAGGTGCGTCTGACCCAAGCCATGGTATTTTCACTTGTCTTATATGCATGTGAAAGCTTGACAATAAATAAGGAAGACAGAAGAAGAATCGATGCATTTGAATTGTGGTGCTGGCAAAGAAAACTGAAGATACCATGGACTGCCAGAGTATGAATAAATCTGTCTTGGAAGAAGTATAACCAGAAAGCTCCTTAGAAGGGACAATGGCCAGACTTCATCTTGCACACTTTGGTCAAGTCAGAAGGGATGAGTCCCTGAAAAAGGTTATCATGCTTGGTAACATAGAAAAAGGGGAAGACCGTCAACAGGATGGATTGACAGGGGCTGCGACAATGGGCGCAAGCATAGCAAGGATTGTGAGGATGGTGCAGGACTGGGCAGTGTTTTGTTCTGTTGTACACAGGGTCGCTATGAGCCAGAGCTGACTTGACATCACCTAACAACAACCCATCCTGTCCTGAGTAAAGGGACTAGAATATGTTTTGTGAGAATGACTTTTAGAGAAAGTCTGTTTCCTTCATGGCTTTCATGGAAGTCTTCAAAAGAAGTGATCAAAATCACAATAATTTGTCAAGGAAAAAGACACAAAAAAGTCCAGTTCTTTTGTTACTATTCTTCTGAAATTTGATATGCTTATTTGAGTATCAGGTGGTCTTATTAATTAACAAAGTTATATACAGTTGCCAAGATTTTAGCAATATTATTTACAAAGCATTATTACAAAAATATCCCTGTGAGGCTTTTATAGTGAAATAAACTTTAACAAATTGCAACAATATGAAGTGTCAGTTTATAAATATGCATAATTAAAGCACTTGGTTTTTGAGAATGTATTCAGTGGCATTCTTGTGTATCTAATGCCAAGTGTAAGTTGGATGTAATTACATTAAAAAAATTCCAGAAAGATAAGGTGCAATTGCTCTTAAGTATTTAACATTGTTTCTTTAACTTTTCCACAAGCTCAAAGAACACAGAAAGCCAGTATCTAGCCTGTTGCACTTAGATTTTAGACAGGATGATCTAAGTTTTAAGATGTTAGTTGAAAACAAGGACAATTAGTGAAAATGGGGTTATTATTAGGTTATATTAGTTGCTGACTTGTGTTCCAAATGGAACCTAAAAGAGCGGACCTTTTTTAAATCTATCCATGTGGCTTTGATGTCATACCAAATTAGTTTAGCACAGAAAATAACAAGGATAAATCCCATTATAATTAATATCATTAGTGTGTGGTAGAAAAATTAGAGGTCATTTATTAATTACATATCCATTAAGAGAATAAAAAGTGAAAGCTGTTTACACTGTAAATCTAACACTTAGCTTAGATGGTTTCTCTTGTAAATAGCAATGCTTTCTTTTTTCCCCCCAAAAAAAGATTATACAATAAAATGAAAAATATTTACTTTATGTTTCCAACTCTAAACCACAATGTTTTTTATAGCCATATTGTTATGGTTAAATTCTCATAACCATTGCTGTCTTTTTATCCTATACCAAAAAACTCACTGCCATTGAGTGGATTCCGACTCATAGCAACCCCTTCTTGGGTTTCCAAGATGGTATCTCTATGGAAGTAGATTGCCCAGTTTGAGGAGTGGCTGGTAGGTTTGAACCCACAGCCTTCTATCCAGCAGTCAAATGCCTTAGGTACTACACCACCAGAGTCTTTTGATCTTTTGATTAAATTATTTCTGCAAAGTATGTCTCACACACACAGCTATATTAATGCAATACTGAGCATAGTCTCTCTCAATAAACATTAATTTACAATAATGTTGGTTCTTTACACTCTTGATTACTGTTAGAGCACTAGAAGGCAAACTCTAAGAAACTGAGGGTGGTGTTTTATTTTTCATTTTGCATAGGTTCTCTTTACGTGCATTTAATGTATTAAATTCCCAGATGTCAGTTAAAATTTGATAGCCAGAGCTTGTGATGATAAAGGCTTTTTTGAGGCTAATTTCTGCTTTGGGCTAAAAAGTCAGTGCAATTTATTCATAATTTCCCAAAACTGGAAGCAACCAAGATGTCCTTCAATAGGTTAATGGATTAACGTATAGAGTCTGCAGATCTCAAGAAAAGCAAATAAAGTGTTTTGTAAGTTTTGAAAATGTCTCTGTGGTTGAATAAATGATGAAAGTAGATTTTAAATTCCATGGTATAAGCTATTCCTCATTAACCTGATCCACTCAGCCGGGTGCCTACGGCGTGACCTAAAAGCCCCACCGCGTCGCCGCTCACAACTTGCTAGGAATCAGGCGATGGTGGGACTGCCCAGCGAACTGAGTTTTCACCAACTTCACCATCTCCCTGTAAGCTCAACCTTCCACTGTGCAGTCAAGGGCTTGCAATGGTACGGAACCGCACTGGAGTGGGGGTGGGGGTGCTCGTGGGCGCTCTGGGGGCAAAGTGTTAACACACTGGGCTGCCAACCAAAAGGTCTACTTTTCAAACCCACCAGCTGCTTCCCGGCTTCCGCAAAGATTCACAGCCTTGGAAACCCAGTTCTACTATTGTGTAGACTCTGAGTCCGAATGGATTCTACGGCACGGGTTTTAGGGAGTCATGGGTAAATTCCTAAGGCGCTCTGGCGGCGTAGTGCCTAAGACATTTCACTGCTGAACAGGAGGTTGGCGGTTCAAACCCACCAGCCACTCCGCGGAAGGAGGATGGGGCAATCTACGTCTACTCGTAAAGATTTACCGCCTCAGAAACCCAACGGGGGTCGCTGTGAGTCGGAATGGACTTGAGGGCGGTGAGTTTGGAATTCTGGCTTTTGGAGGTAAATTCCTTAGGGTGTGTGGGGTGTTACTGGTTAGAACTGGGTGCCCTGCGGTCGGCGGTGGATGGACTCCGCGTCCCACTGAGCGAAATCCGACGCGGCACCCGCCACACTTACGGGACCCTCGGCGGGATCTCCTCCATCGATTTGAAACGGCCGGTCCACAGCAGGATTTTCTTGTCGAATTGCGAAGGTCTGTGCTCGGCGGGGACCCTGTGCACCTTTCCTGCTGCGAAAAGCGACCAGGAGGAATAAGGAAAGGGACAGACAGATGGACGCGCGCGCTCAGCCTCAGATCCCGCCTGACCTCCCGCCCGCTGTGCGCCTTCCCGCGGCCCGCTCCCTCCCAGGCTTCCGGCTGGATGACAAGCCGCTCCGCGGGCGCGTGGGCCACCCTGAGCCCCGGCTCACCCGGGCCTTCGGGGCCGCTGCCGCCGTGGGCCCCGCCGCTGGAGCAACGCGGGAGGCCCCCGGGCCTGAGGGCCGAGAAGTGCGGCCGCGGGGCATCGGGAGGGGCCCCTGGCGGAGCCCCGACGAGCCCCAGGCAGAGGCACCGCAGGCTCCTGACGGCAGCGAGCATGCTGTGCCCTTTTCCCGCGCCCGCAGCGGCCTCCAGAGAAATCCTGCTGCGCCCCGCCCCGTCCGGGTCAGCGACCTCCACTTCCCGCCCCCACTGTGCTCCCAGGGGAGCTCTGGACCAACAGCTGCAGCCTCCGACCAGTTCCCCGCACGCCCTCCGCTCCCCGCCTCCTGCCGGGGCTCCTGACGGGGTGGCCAGCGGCTGATTTTTCTTTGCCTTTGCTTGAAAACTCCAGCGAGCCGAGATCTCTACCTCCCAAGACCTGTCACTGTGTCTAGTTGGAAATTTTATCTTTGTGTTAATAGGTATGTGTCTCCATCAGGCTTTCGCCTGTTGATTTTACTATTGGGTGCCAAAGAGAATAAATCTAAACCTTCTCCTTCAGGAAGATCCAACAGTCCTTTAAGTTCAGGGTATTGAACTAATGTTTACCAACACTCAACTCTTGACCAAATAAATGTAAGAAGTTTGAACAAACCCCAATAGATTGTTTGAAGTTAGCTCCTCACCCTACATTTTTTCTCTTTTCTTGGCAAAACAACCTCAGAGCCCACAACTGTTGTTCTTACCTCCCTAATTCTTTTTCTTTTTCTTTTATTATTGTTGAAAATGTACACAGGTAAACATACACCAATTCAACAATTTCTACATGTAGGATTCAGTGACACTGATTGCATTCTCCAAGTTGTGCTGTGGAGTCGGATTTGTAGGTTTCAGAGGTGGGTATCACTAAGGACAGCCATTCGCAAGTTTTTAAGACATCAAGCATCATGAATGACTTTAGGAGGCAGAGCAGAATCAGTGAAAAATGATGTTACAGCAATTAACTTCACCTCCCCATCATCAAACTCCCTTCAAAATGGCTTTCCTTCTTTCACTATCTCCCATCTGGTAACGGGTGAGAATCTTCAATTCTCTGGCATCTAAATGGCCACAGGGATTCAGACGCAATGATTGGAGAGACAAAGTTTGCACAACAGCTGTCCATTCTGAAGGTATTTACTCACTGGTATCTACGACAACAGACCCCAGCCAAGGCAGAGTGGCTTTAGGCCCACCACCATGCCCTCTCCTGTTTATTGCCTCTGAGATTCCTTCCGTACCTAGACACTGTTACACTTTCAGTTTGATTTCTAGATATTTCTTTTCCTGGTAGCTGGATTGTCAGGCTCTTGAAGACAGAACCGTCTTTGTAACACAGTGCATTTCACATACTGGTGTTTAACAAAAGAGAACAGATTAATACCTTTGTAAGGAAATATGCATTTAAAGGTTTGCTTGTAGAAAGAGTATGGGCTTTGCCATCACCAGTTGCCATGTAGTTGGCCCCAACCCATGGCGAGCCCGTGTGTGTCACAGCGAACTGTGCTCCATAGTGTTCATTGGCTTATTTTTTGGAAGTAGATCTTCAGGCCTTTCTTCTGCATGCCTATGGGTAGTCTTGAACCTCCAACCTTTCATTTAGGAATCAAATATGTTAACAGTTTGCAACACACTTCTAATCTTTATATTTATGACTGAAGTTCATGACTTAAGAATTGTGTGATCATGAGCATGTCATTTAAACTTTCAGCCTTAGTCTCATTTGTAAATCAAGAATTCCTGCTTTTCTGATTCGTTTATGAGATGATGAAAAACCTACTATATGCCAGATAATTCTTGGAACTAAGCATAGAACAGTGAACAATGTATTAGTAAATGGGTATTAGTAAATGAAGAAAAATGAAGCAAAGTAAGCAGGAGTAGGGTGGGAAGCCATTTTAGAAAGCATGTAAGGGATGTTGTGTTGTTAGGTACTGATGAGTCAGCTTGGACTCTTAGCGATCCTATGTGCAGCAGAAACACTGCCTGGTCATGCACCAGCCTCACAATTCTTGCTATATTTGAGCCCATCGTTGCAGCCACTGTGTTAATCCAACTCATTGGGTCTTCCCCTATTTTACTGATCCTCCACTTTACCAAGCATAGTATCCTTCTCCAGGGAATGGTTCTTCCTGACAACATGACCAAAGTAGGTGATACGAAGTCTGCCATTCTCACTTCCAAGGAGAATTCTGGCTGCACTTCCTCCAGGACAGATCTGTTAGTTCTTCTGGCAGTCCATGATACTTTCTGTATCCTTCACCACCACTACAACTCAAAAGCATCAACTCTTCTTTGGTCTTCCTTATTCATTGTCCAGCTCTCACACGCATATGAAGCAATTGAAAATACCATGGCTTGGGTTAGGTTCACCTTAGTCTTCAAAGTGATGTCTTTGCTCTTTGACACCTTAAATAGGTCTTTTGCAGCAGATTTGCCCAATGCAATACAATATGTGATTTTTTGACTGCTTCTTCCAAGGGTGTTAACTGTGGATCCAACTAATATCAAATCTTCGACAACTTCAGTCTTTTCTCTATTTATCATGATGCTGCTTATTGGTCTAGTTGTGAGGATTCTCATTTTCTTTATTTTGAGGTATAATCCATACTGCAGACTGTAGTCTTTAATCATCATCAGTAAATACTTCAAGTCATCTTCACTTTCAGCAAGTAAGGCTGTCTTGTCTGCATGTTGCGGGTTGTTAATGATTCTTCCTCTAGTTCTGATGCCACATTCTTTTTGGTACAGTCCAGCTTCTTGGATTATATACTCAGTATACGGATTGAATAAATTTGGTGAAAGGATACAACCCTGACATATTCCCTTTCTGATTTTAAACTATGCAGTTTCCTTTGTTCTGTTCAAATGACAGCCTCCTGGTCTATGTACAGGTTCTTCATGAGCACAATTCAGTATTCTGGGATTCCCATTCTTCTCAATGTTATCCGTAATTTGTTATGATGCGCAGTTGAATGATTTGCATAGCCAATAAAATATAAGTAAACGTCTTGCTGGTATTCTCTGCTTTCAGCCAGGATCCATCTGACATCAGCAAAGATATCCCTTGTTTCATGTCCACTTCTGAATACAGCTTGCGCTTCTGGAAGGTCCCTGTCAATATACTGCTGCAACTGTTTTTAACGTATCTTCAACAAAATTTTATTTGCTTGTGAAATTAATGATATTAATTTATTATCATTACATTAATGACAATTTCCACATTCTGTTGGATCACCATTCTTTGGAATGGGTACATATATGGATCTCTTACAATCATTTGACCAGGTGGCTGTTTTCCAAACTTCTTAACATAGATGAGTAAGTGCCTCCAGTGCAACATCCATTTGTTGAAACATCTCCATGGGTATTCTGTCAATTCCTGGAGACTTTTTTTTTTTTTTTTTTTGCCAATTCCTTCAGTACAGCTTCGACTTCTTCCTTTAATACCATTGGTTCTTGATAATATGCCACTTCCTGAGATAGCTGAACATTGACCAGTTCTTTTTTGTACAATGACTGTGTATGCCTTCCATCTTCTTTTGTTGTTCCCTGCATAATTCAGTAATTTTCCCATAAACAACAATGCAAATGCAACACACTGCCGTCGAGTCAGATCCAACTCATAGCAACCCCTCCTTGGGTTTCCGTGGTGGTATCACCATGGAAATAGATTGCCCAACCTCTTTTAATATTGCAACTTGAGACTTGAATTTTTTCTTCAGTGCTTTCAACTTGAGAAATGTCAATAGCATGTTCTTCCCTTTTGGTTTTCTAACTCCAGGTCTTTGCACTTTTCATCGTAGTAATTGACTTTGTCTTCTCGAGCTGCTCTTTGAAATCTGTTCAGCCCTTTTATCTTGTCATTCCTTCTATTTGCTTTATCCACTCTCTGTTTGTGGGAGTTAAATTTGTATGTCAACTTGGCTGGGCCTGGTTGAGTGGCTGGGCAGCTGGATATAGTATTCCCCATGGAATCAACTGGTAATCAACTCCATGGTGGAATCTACTGTGAGCAGCTGAGTAGCTGCTTTAGGGATGTGGTCTGCTTCCTGTATATAAGGAGAAGGCTTGGGAAATGGTCTCTAGCTTATGGCATGCTTAAACCCTACATGTAGCTGAATCATTGTTCAGCAGCCTGCCATGCTCAGCCAACCTTGGGACTTACAATGGACTTGAATTAATGGCCTGCTGTGTGGTTTGGTAACATCGGGACTGTGACTTTTTACTTGTCAACCTTGGGTTTGTCAGCCTCAGCAGCCAGCAACTGAGTGAAAAAAAGCCTTCAGCTTCAGTGGGCTGGGAGCAGGAGGCAGAGCTGAAGCCCAAAGTTGAGGGGCTTTCATCTAGTCCCTAGAGCCTGGCACTTTAAACTTGGACGTTAAGCTTCCAAACTGTAAGAGAATAAACTCCTGTTTCTTTAAGCCATCCCATTTGTGGTATATTCTTGTCAGAGCAGCACTAGGTAACCAGAACACCACTCAAGAGCAAGATTCAGAATCTCTTCTGACATCTATTTTGGTCTTTTCTTTCTTTCTTGTCTCTTTAATGACCTTTTACTTTCTTCTTATATAATGTTCTTGATGTCATCCCACAACTTGTCTTATTTTCGGTCATTGGTGTTTAATGTGTCAAATCTATTCTTGAGATGGTCTCTAAATCCAGGAGGGATATCATCAAGGCCATATTTTTGCTCTTGTGGGCTTGTTTTAGTTGTCTTCAGGTTAAACTTGAACTTGCATATGAGCAATTTATGGTCTGCCCCAAAGTCAGCTCCTGACCTTGTTTTGGCTGAAGATACTGAGCTTCTCTATTGCCTCTTTTCACAAAAAATGTAGTCAATCTGATTCCTGTGTATCCCATCTGGTGAGGTCCACATGTACAGCCACTGTGGTAGTTAATTTTATGTGTCAAGTTGGCTGGGCCTGGTTGAGTGGCTGGGCAGCTGGATGTAGTTATTCCCCATGATGAGATTGGTAATAAACTCCTGGTGGAATCTATTGGAGCAGCTAAGTAGCTGCTTTAGCGATGTGGTCTGCTTCCGGTGTATAAGAAGCAACTTTGGAAAGGTCTCCAGCTTATGGCACACTTGAACCCTGCATGTAGCTGAGTCATTGTTTAGCAGCCTGAACTGTAAG